CTTGGCCAGCGGTATCCCATAGAGCAAGCTGGACGGACTTGCCGTCTACTCGACAATCTGTCACATAGTTCTCAAAGACTGTGGGGATCTATATAATACGAGGTCAATAATCGTCGTCGCAAGGGGTTACGGTCGAGGCTCACATAATGCTGCAAACAGGTTAGCATGATTTGATGACGATATGTAGACTTGGAGGGCTCACTGTAGGAAAGTAACCTAGCGTAAATACGCTCAGCAAACTGGTCTTGCCGCAGGCACCATCACCGATAATGACCAACTTCCTACGGTACGTCGTTAGTGGTCTGATTGATCTTCAAATATCTTGAGCATGTGATGATTGGTATGGCAGGGAGGAGTATCGTTTTGGGACCTAAAGGGGAGCGGAGCTTGGGAGCGCGATGAAGTCGTACCTGCGGATAACGTTGCTAGGATTTGCGCTCATGATGACTGAGTTATATGGCCTCGAAGCTGCGTGATGATATCGTCTCGAGACTACTCGTAGGAGGGAATCGGATCTGGAGTCTGCTACGGGCCCCAGATCTGGGTGATGCGTCGGTTAATCGTTGCCGTCGATTAATTATGGGTGGAAGAGCAACGAGCTACAGCGTTCAAGAGGGCGTCGTCGCGGTGATAACAACAGGAACAGGCTAGGCTAGGCCGAAAGGGATTGGATAGGACTGGATTGGGTGATATGAAGGTGATGATGATTAATTGGAGAGTAAGGTTGGTTCGGTCAGAGAAATGTCGTCGAGATCTGGGATAGGACCCCTTATTTTTTTTGCCAACGGACTTTTTGGTAAGAGAATCGTTGGATGGGTGAGTAAAGTAACAAGGGACGTCCAGACCTGAATGAGCGCGCGGACGTGGAGCGAGGAGGACAGGGCCAGATGGAACCAGCCAGGTCAGGACAAGCCGGGCCAGGTGGGTGCAGGCAGTACGTAAATACTGTGCTAGCATACGGTTCAGCTGCCAGGGTACTAATGCAATGCAGTACAGTCCTGGGTTTGTGCAGTGAGATCAGAGCGTTTTTAATGGCGAGAGTAATGTCTAAGACGAAACGAGTGCCAAGCAGCTGGTTGGATGAACAAGTTCTTCAAAGAATAGGTAGAATAGTAGAGAAACATGAAAGAATATGAAAGAATGATGTTTAACGGGTTGGGAATACGAGACCAAGACTGACGGGCAGGACTGATGATTGATTGACCGAGATGATAGGACAGTGAAGGACTGTGGTGAGGTGGTGCTGTTCTTTTTTTGTCAGACCGACCTGGTTCTTTGGTTAGCCTCAGTCTAAAATGGAGCTGAGGCGGACTGGGCTGGGCTGATGTGCATCAGGTTCTGAAGATTGTGTAGAGAAGAAAAGATGAAACGAGTCATTCAAGATGTTAAGGAATGAATAGATCGATAATCTGATACCAATTCAAGATATCCCCAAGAGCCTAACGCTTAGTTATACTATACGCGGCAGATCTAAAGCTAGAGAGGCAGCCTCTTTTCTATTGTTGGAACAGCCGGGCTTGTTTACGACGGCGACGGTGGTGGCATCGGTGATGGTGGAGAGACCGACAGACGGACTCACTGACTACACTCACTGCACTGTACTCACTGTACTGAGGTGCTCCCCTGAACGGGTAGGCCATGTGGAGCCTCGACGTAGAAAACGGGTCCGGGGGGACCTTTTTTAGCTGAGGATGAGGTGAGGTCTAGTGGAGGACGACAGTCCTGAAAGTTCTCTAGTACGGGCAGGTTCTGTGACAGCCGGGCTGCCTGAGTGGACTGCGCATTATCACAAAGTGGGCTTCGGCAGCATGAGTTGCTTCTTGTTGCAATGCTACGGCAAGTCTGTGGTTGTTGATCGACATGGATTAAGGTACACGAGATGTGCCGGAGAATGGATCGTTACAACGGCATCTTCTGACATCCTGACTACGTAGCTTTGGGAAAAGTCACTGAGAGACTTCAATTGGAGGTTTTGTCATCAGCAGCATCTGATTAGCATAGCCCATCTCATCAATGAGTTAGTTGATCATCATTGATGGACTTGCAGCAAACAGCAAGCCCCCTGTGCTGTGGCGGAGCATCCACAACTGTATATCCAAAACAAGTAATATCCATGATTGAAGCCAGCTCGGTTAATTCTGACATTCTCCGCCCTGTACCAGCTCAATGGGAAGAATCTGAACGAAAAGTTAAGGTATTTCTAACGGCCAGTTGGGAACAAGATTGCAGTGCCGTTCCGCTTCGGTAACCGTCATAAATCGTCACTAGAGATTCAATTAGGTAAACAAACGTCGGTGGAGACTTTCGTCGTCATGGAGCCTCTCAGTTCAACTCAACTCTCAACTCCGCCAAGCCAAACAAAACTCACGGGCTGTTCTATCATCTTCAATGCTCATATTTTATTCAACGAATTGGCTGTCTCGGTTTTGTTTCTGCATCGATAGTTTCCATGGGCGGCAGGGCCAAGGTGTCCTTCAATACGACAGTAACGACAGAATTCAGATCTAGACAAGCATATCAACAGATCCACATCAAAAGTGCCCTTGTCTTTACTCGGAGGATTAAACATTTGGGCTCTGAGATGCTCGTCATGCCAGCCAATCTCCTTGCTGGGGTGCAAAAATGCATGGCCGCCGCCATTTGAGGCTGTGCAGACTAACCCACACCCGCCAGCCGGTAAGCTAAAAACAGGAACCAGACCAGCCCTGGAACCTTGGAAACCAAGGGGCGGGATGAACTACTGCTCTAGCACTGACGCTTATTGCTTGTTGTGCAGCGATGATGGAAAAGTCCCCTAGAAATAGAAATAGCAACTGAACCCTAGCTCGTGTCTCAAGACTTCATGCCATGCTGCTTGAGGGCATTGGATGAGATCAACCCGACCATTTTACGGATGATCCCGTTAATGCGCTCCATCGTCTTGGCTCCCTCACGCTGATAACGTGATAATATGGGTTCCGTGAGAAGGATCTCGGTGTTTGTGAGTTGTGCCGGCGGTCCGCATTGCTGACGTCCGTATGTCTACAAACGTCCCTTCAAGGTCGTTTTCTTTTCTGACGTTGGTGTAGAAAAACTTCAATTCTCACCTGCGTGGATCCTTCATGACTGATGACAGCATACTGTACGGGCATACCCGATGAGCTAGTTGGCCCGTCTCACTGTCTTTGCCTGCTTACGTCGAATGCAACAACGATGCCTCATGGCCGATGTCACAATAGGCGATGAACTAACTCACTGCCCTACAAGGCTGCGTTGGTGTTTACAAGCGATGCCACGATCCTTCGTCCCATTAATGCATGCATAGCTGTCAGCGTCGCTGGCTGCTTAAGTCTTACCTGCATATTCTCCTCGTCTGGTGGGCAGAGATCGCGTTCGTTTACCCTTCCGGTCACCTCTGAAGGCCCTGATTCAGTGTGGGTGGTACTCCAAGCGGCGTTTGTACGGGTAGATTTCAGCAATTGAGAATCGTTCGTCTATGTATGGACAAATAGCCGAAACATGTTGCATCGTCCTCTCCCGTCGATGCTGTCCTCCGTCGTTTGCAACATGCATAGACAAGGGGCAACACGGCATCGTCTCAATTTGGTATCCTGTCACACTCACATGGGTTTGCGCGCCGAGATGTATGTCGTAGTCTTGTTCCACATGGTCTCATCCAGCTGTTGAGACGAAAGATAGAGTCGAGTCTATGAGGCTTTCATGTGGCTCTTGCATGATTGTGCTGGCTATGTTGAATGTTGCACGGCGTCGGCAACCATCGTGGTGCCTGTGGATGACGAGTTTGGTGGTCAAATTTGTTCTTCACATCGGCATGAGATGTGAAGATCTTAATTCGGGCCTGACGCTTCTGACGGTGATCTGCCTTGGTTGCTCCCTGGTAATATTGTGTGTATAGAGTATTGATCGTCTCGCGAAGACGGAACGGGTGTTTTCCCACCGTTAATAATCAAGCCGTAGTCTGTTTGTCAAACATGCACTGGTCCCTTTTACAGTCCTGTCATAATATTGAGATATTAATTGCTTAGTCGAGTTTAGGACTCTTAGAGAAGCAAACGCCAGGTCCTAGAGGATTTTGAGTGATGAGACTGAAGTGATGTTGATAAATTGCTTCACGATTGCTTTGCTATGCATATTGGAAGCCTTTGGCACACAATTGAGTAGCAAACAAGAGATAATAATGATGCAGAATTTTGTTGAGAAATAAACAATAGACGAATTGGGCCTTTTAATGATTGCCAAGCAAAGAATTGATTGTCTCTGTTGCTTCATCCCAAGCTTCAGGGTAGCCCCGAGACGAGTGACGTTGACATCAAGGTTGCTGTTTGCAACCCCACCTTCAGCAAGGCACAAACAAACCAAATCGCCAGATCTCAACATCACGTGCGAGATCACACCAGGCTACGCCAGGCTAGGGGAATAGCGGGGCATATCCCGTCAATCAGATGCGTGCCTGACCACATCACAGTGTCGCTGGGCTGGCAGGTTCGGCTGCATGAGAAAGTACAGGTGCTATGCAACTCCACCAAAGAGTGACTTCTACTGTCCCATCCATCGTGTTTGAGCCTTGAGCCTCGAAGCATCAAACAACGCCAGACAAAGAACGTTACGACATTTCCGCACTCTTTTATCTTCAACCCGAAGTATCTATAAAACCCTCCGACTGCGCTTACGATTTTATAACAACAGCAATAACAATCAATCCATTGGGTCCCTTCCCCGCAGGCGTCATCGCTGACCTAACCCTGACCTTGGCCGCTCGCTCTCCGACTGTGAGTGCCTCATTTTGAGCCGCCCCCAGAGACCCTCCACTTGCAACGTGCCCGCAGCCGCCTAACGACCAAGACTTCACCGTTTTGACACGCGCGATACCCTCCGCTTCCAAGCTGACACGCTCTCGCGTATTACAGAACCATATTCCTCATACACCGTCCTCCCATCGACAGACACGTGTCGCGCACAGCATCTTCATGCCCTCGACTGCTTTGCTTCCGTAACCTACGATGCCGGCCAACAACCAACGACCGGCCGCCCAAACTCCGGTATCACCACGAAATACGGCAAAATACACCAACAAGGATGGCTCCAAGTTTATCACCGTACCTAAGGGCGCTACCTCTGAGTCTTCCTTGCCTTCGACCCCCACAACTGCTAAAGCCAGTGCCCCCCCACTAGAGGCTTCCAACCCCGACAATGACCCTGCTCCAACAGTCAACCGCAAGAAGCAGAAGCGTAGACAGAAGGCTGCTTTAAAAGCCGCACAGCAAGCTGCGAACGGACATACCAACAATGTCGCGAGTGGTGGTGCACGCACAGGGTATACCCCAGGCCGTGGTCCCGCTGATCACGAAGAGGTCGAAAGCGACGACGAGCATGAGTATATCCTGGCGAGCGAATTAACAGGCCCAACTACAAACGGGCACCCCCCTTCGGATTCAAAATCGAAGAAGAACAAGAAGAAAAAGAAGAAGGGAGGGAATGCCGATCCTACATCACCTGCACCCGAAACTCTTGAATCTGAGCCCCAATCGCACTCGTCACAGGGCCCTGGGATGTCACGCGATAAGATATGGAGCACTAGCAATCAAGAGGAGCGCGAACGCATAAAAGCATTCTGGCTTGGATTGGGTGAAGATGAGCGGAAATCCTTGGTCAAAGTCGAGAAGGATGCTGTTCTGAAGAAGATGAAGGAGCAACAGAAGCATACATGCAGCTGCACTGTGTGCGGACGGAAGCGAAATGCCATTGAGGAAGAATTGGAAGGGCTCTACGATGCCTACTATCTGGAGCTCGAACAATTTGCAAACCAAGGCGAGGGACCACCAATGCTACCATCGGCTCGAGATTTCGCTCTAAGACCGCCCCGGGGTCTGCCATCAAGTTATGCCAACCGCCCGCCATCGCGCGGTCGAATAGTCGAACATGTGGGAGACGACGAAGACGAAGACGAGCTGGAGGAGGTTTACAGCGAAGACGAAGTGGAGGACGATGACTACAGCGACGATGAACCTCCCGAAGAATATCAAAACTCACATGAACGGGACGTCGCCGATTTCTTGACGTTTGGCAATAGCCTCCAAGTCAAGGGTACGCAGCTTCTTGATTCACTTCTCCGCAGATATGGTAACATGGACTTAGGTGGTATTCTCACCGTGGCGGATGACCTCCTGAAAAACGACGGCAAGCGGTTTATCGAAATGATGGAACAGCTTGCCGAACGTAGGATGGCAAGGGAAGAAGACGCCCGCGAACACTTCTCAAGGGGCTACGGTCACCCTAATGGCTCATACTCCAATCCACATAATCATCCTCCTCCTGAAGAAGACGAGTACGACGAAGAAGAGGACGAGGATGATGACTTTGATGATAGTCAGGACGAGGAGTATGAGGAGGAAGAGGTATACTCAAACCCCTCTGTGATACCATCCCAGTCCCATACTGAGTGTTGCTGCCAGGACCAAATGACGGAGGAGCAACGAATGGAGGAAGGCCGACGCATGTTCCAGATATTCGCCGCCCGTATGTTTGAACAAAGGGTTCTCTCGGCGTATAAGGAAAAAGTCGCCAAGGAGCGCCAGCAGAGGCTGCTAGAAGAACTTGAGGCCGAAGATCGAGAATCCGAATTGAGGAAAGCTAAGAAGGCCAAAGACGCACAGAAGAAGAAGGACAGGGCTGCACAGAAGAAGCAAGCACTGGCCGAGGAGAAAGCACGCAAAGAGGCGGAGAAGGCTGCTGCAGACGCTGCTCGGCTAGAAGCTGAGAAGCAACGGGTTGCTGAACAAAAAGCCAGGGCCGAAGAGAAACGAAAGCTAAAGGAGGCGCAGAAGAAGGCTGACGAAGAAGCTCGCCTACGCAAGGAGGCAGAAAGGCAACGCCGAGCTCAGGAGCGATCCGAACAAGACCGCAAGGCCCGCGAAGCCAAGGAAAAGGAGAAGAAACTTAGGGAAGAACAGCGACAGAAAGAAAAGGAGGAGAAAGAGCGCGAGGCGCAGGAGCGGAAGGACAAGCAAGAGCGCGACAAGCGGGACAAAGAAGCTCGTGCTGCAAAGGCTCAGAAAGATGCCCAAGCAGCCCGAGAAGCTAAGGAGAAGTTGAAGGAGGAGAAGGCAGGCGCCCAGAAAGCGGCAAGTCAACCATCACAACCAATCCAAATCCCGAAGCGTGGTTCCCAGTATCCGGTACCGATCCCGGCAGCTCTTCCACAACAACCGTCGAATCCTGCAAGCTACGCCTCGCCAAAGATTCCAGTCGCCACTCCTGTAATGTCCAAAGCACCGACTCCTATAAGACCTCGGACCCTCTCGCAGCAGGACAGTGGAGCGCAATCCGCTACAGCTTCGTCTACAAGCCAAGACCCTTCACCTCATTCCATGACACCCATCATGAGCCCCGGTCTAATTGGCCAGCGCCACGGAAGCGCAAGTACTCAGCATTCTCACTCGGTATCTCCAACAAATGGACAACCGAGACTTCCAGGACAATCTCCTTTCCAGATACCTCCTGTGGGAATGCATCCGCCCCCAGGATTGCACCACCACCCGGCACCACCAGGTTTCCCCAATCGCATGTCACAGGATGGCTTTTCAGCGTTTAGACATGGCCCTGGTGCAATGATGCCTCCTCCTGGGATGAATGGGCCAGCTGGACGGGGATTTCCCTTACCGATACCACCAGGGTTCTCACAGCCAGGAGTCGATCAATTTGACATGAATGGATTCCCGATACCAACGGACTTACCCCCATCAACGCATCATCGCCAAAGTTCATTTCAATTTGACGCGCCACCAACCCCAGCACAACCCATTGGTCGACCTGCTCCCATTGGGCGTCCTGGAAGCATAAATCTTGGTCGCTCATCTGACGACAAAGAAGATGAAACTGCACATCTTGGTAGTCGGGCTCTGTTGGAAGATGACGAGCCGCTCGAAGTCGAAGGAATTATGGGGGTGCGAAACCAACCACCTGGACCTAGGCCTGATTATACCACGAGTCCCTTCTTGGCTTCAGCGTTTCCGCTGGCCCCCAACCCGTGGGGCCCTCCTGGTGTCGGTGGACATCCTTTGCCTCCCCCAGGGCTCAACAATCCTGTCTGGGGCGCACCAAGTGCACCTCCTGGCTTTGGCATGTCTCCTGTTCCTGCGATCAACTCTCTTCGAACCGCGTCACACCCTAGCTTCCCCCAACTTCGCGCAATGCTCTGCCAGGCATGCCAGGAACTCGCTGGCTCGGGTGACCAAGAAGGTTACATTGACCTCTCAATTCTGAAGTCAAGAATTGAGGCACTGTCAGGCGACAGTATCTCAGAAGCCATTCTCATCAACCTTTGTGACACCGAAGGAAACCCCAACAACGGAGGCGGTACGCTAGTTATCCGACAGAACGGTGGAAGTTTTAGCCACGCCGTCCGATGGGAACCCGATCTAAATGATGGATTTTATCGAGCAGTCGGCGCTCCAGGTGAGATTGGTAGCCCGGTGGCTGGTCAAGCAACTCTGCGAGGGGGAATATAGGAAAAGTCTCAGCAGCGTGAGGCGGGCCGACAAACTAGCCGGAATGCCTTGTCCGTCAGAGATCTGGTGCGAGATAGCACCCCTCTAGGTCCCGAACCTTCTGCAAGTTGTAACCAGCCTTTCACCTTGCTAGGAGGTCACAAAAGAGGGAGGTCGTCTTTACACCTGAGGGGTTCGTCGAACGTATCTGACATTGATCGTTTCGATCCTTCAGTCAATGGATCACAAACCAACGATTCGGGATGAGTTCCACTATAGCTGACTGGCCCACCGAGACAGCACCAGCGGAGTGCATGAAATTCCGGCGTTCTTCATCAACAGAAGACGGCCAAACCAACACGTTAGCTCATTTTCTTCGGGTGAAAATATATTCGGATATTACCCAGAGTTGAGAAGAGGATGTTGCATGGATACCCAGGTGCGATTTGCTGCCAAATGTTGCAGTTGGAAGGAAAGCGATGAGGAACTCTACAGCGTAAAGCAAGCGCTGAGCTCAATAAAAGAGTATTGTTCAAGCAGCGGATCATACGCACCATCAGCCCTGAATGGCTCCCTGCAATGCGTGCAGTAGGCCTGTGAATGTGAACAATGTTCGTGACGATGATTGACCAACACAGATCACAAAAATTAGCCTCCAAGTACCAGCCAGATCTGACCGTTTCTCTTTCTAACGCCAGTGGCTTGTGCTGGCCATAAACTTTCAGCCATCACAACTCTCACCTCAACAGGTGCGAGTGCGAGTATGTGCCGCGTGTGACCATTTTTGTGGAAAGCTACGAGATGAACAACATGTGAGAGGCCAGATGGAAGCACACGTAATACTTTAATTCAACGTCTAGCTGTGACCGTCCCCATTTCATAAGGTAGATGAATAGATACATTCGCGCACCAAAGTTGCAGACTTTATCCTTTCCCATTGCTCCAAAATACTCAAACATGTCATGTAAGGTTTGTTCCCCTCCGGGCCTGATATCAAGGTATCGAAAAACACGTCATCCTCGGCCTTGAAGATTTCCAAGCCTTGGATATTTCCCCCGCGCTGGCATTCACACAGGCATTATAAAGAGATGGCGAGTACTTGGAAAGAGGCAGCTCCATGGGCCATCCGAAGAGCTCAATTCTGATATAAATACTCTTCAGAGACTCGGTGAAGCTGCCTCGTTCCCGCAGCCCCCCCTCGACGAGACCGATCCGCCTAGATTCGGTCCTGGAAGGGGTTGCCGGCGCCGGGGGCGGATTGGCCCGAGGCGTTACGGATGAGGGGCTGGCGCTGAGCAGCGCGCTGCTTCTTTGTGGCGGCACGGGCCAAGGCGACGGCCTCAGACTTCGCGACGAGACGCTTCTGCTCCTTGCGGTCGCGGCAGCACATGAAGGTGAGGTAGCCGAGCATAAGAGCGGCTGACGCAGCGAAGACGATGGCGATGATGATACCGGCGGTGTCCATCTCCTTCTTGGTCATGCAAATATCATCGGCGGAAGAATCGGTTGTGCAGATAACCTCGGAGCGGCACGAGCTGGTGCTGATCTCAGTGCTGTAGCAAGTGGCGGTCTTGGTCTTATCCGAGACGGTCTCGAGATCGCACTGCTCGGTACTCTTCTTGAAGGTGGTGTAGCAGTCGGTTCCTCTCGAGGTATCGGCACGCTTCTTGAGCTCACCAGTGGCCTTGGGGCCGTCGGTAATGGCAGCGGCGGCTTCGACGCGGGGGATGATGGCTGGCATGGGAGCGGCCTCGTAGCGCTTCTTGAGCTCGCCGGCTTTGGCGATCTCGGAGCATCGCTCGAAGGTGTAGTGAGCCTCCTTGGCGGCGGCGTCGGGGGAGCAGCCGGCAGAGGTGTAGCAGGTCTTGAGGGCGGCCTCGTCGGTCTCCTTGAGGTTGGCGAGGCAGTACGAGAGGGCGCCCTTGTTGGCACAGTCAGCAAAGGCAGCGAGGTCCTCGTGGTGGTTGGCGAGACACTCTTGCTGGACAGCGGCAAGGGCGTTGCCAGCGAAGAGAATGGCGGTTGAGAAGCGCATGATGAACGGGTTCAACGGTTTTTTCGTTATTGTTTTTGGAGATTAGGTTTCGATCGAGAGGATGCCCAGCAAGCTCTGTAATTTCTGATGTCGAATACGAATTGGGCGCCTGAAACCAAGACACGCTCAATCCAAAAAGGGGAGAGAGGATGAAATTGGGGGAGGGTGGGTTTGTTTGGTGGTCTTGATGGGGAACGATAGGGAAGAAAAAAAGAGGAAGAAACAAGGAGAGGGAGCAAGCGAAACGAAGCGAATGGGATGGGAAATGGAAGGGATTATCCGTCCGTTTCTTTCTGGGCTGAATCTTGGTTTCTCTGGGTGAGGGAGGGTCCTTGGAAATGGAGTAAAAAAAAAGAGAGGCAGTGAGAGAGCGAAAGAGAGGCAGGGGATATGAGGCGGTCTTTGGGCTGGTAGGCTGGCTGGCAGTGCTTACTGGCTACTGGCCACTGGCAAAAGCTGGCAGCAACAAGTCCATGTTACAGGCTCTTATTATTATTATGGGGATCTTTAGAGCGTTGCTTGTGCTAAAAAAAGGGGAGATGAGGAGACGGATCCTTTCTAGACGGGGGTGAGAGGACTTGAGCCACAACTGGCTAAACCTGAAAAGGGATAGGACATGAGAAGAGATTGAGGGTCCTTGTCTTGTTCTTTGTTTTGCAGGTGTTAGGGCTGTGAGTGTTCTGTTAGGTTTTGGGTGCAGAAGCGGTGATATTGTTAACTATTTGGAGTGGTAGTGTCTGTATGTACGTTGCCGTCGAGTCCACCAAGGACGAGTCTGATCAATATCCATTGCCAACGCATGCCATGATGACGGCTGATGCTGATACTTTGCTGATGATGCAGGATCACAGGTGGGAACTTATTAGCCAACCCGCTAGCCAGCACCGGAGCTGGGCTGAGCTGGATTCAAGACAAAGACAAACATCAACAAACAGAACCGAGACATGTTTACATACATATATTGCTATGAGAACAATCTGATTTCTACAGTAAAGATGTACGAAGTGTCACAAGAAGTTGTCACAGTCCTTCAATTACTGCTGACATGCTGAAACTTGACTCTCGGGCTCTCCTTGCGCAAACCACCCACCTACGTAAGCCCAAGCCTTGCCATGTCTTCCCGCAAGCGCTGATTGAAGTGGCTGAAAGAGCGGATAACAGCACAACACCGCTGGCTGGCAAGGATGGCGGTGCAGCAACCAATCGACGCCAAGTTTTGGACATCTGGTGCGACGACGGTTGTGGGGTGAAGCATGAAGGAGATGACATTTCAATCGACTTCCTTCATTTGTTGCAATTGCCATGTGTTTGTGTGTATATTGGAGGAACAGCAGGTATCATATCAAGCAGAATACAGAATACAGACTACAGACTAGAGAAACACGTCTCTGGACAGAATGAGAAGAGATGTTGTATAAGCGGTCAACGTCCTGAGCTTACTCTGCCTCTGGCTCTGCTTACATGTATTCATAGGCGTTATGCAGCTGAGATGGACCCTGTCGCGCATCCCGACGCCATCAAATAGCTGCATCCCATCGTAGGTAGTAAGAGGATCTGATTCTATACCCTGACGAACCTCGTGCCCGCAAACAGAACATCCTGATACTTTCCGCCTTCATTGCTTTATCTCATCGGGATGTCCCGAATCAACCTTGGCTCGCTAAAGATACCTACATACAGGTGATGTTCAGGGGCTGAAAATGCCGAGCAGCACTTAGGTTGTAGTGGTCAGTGCCTGAGATTGACAGAAAAGCATAATTCTAATGCCAAGACACATCACTTGTCAATCATTTATTTCACTAGCAAATGACATGAACAAACATTAAAAAAATGCCCGAGATCTTGATCGATTTTAAACATCCCCCCTCTTTCGCGCGCACGTCATGTTTTGTCCCTTGAGTAACCGACGCGTAGCCAATCGAACTGAATCTGGGGATTAGCCATGTGAGTCTACGTCATCAACTTTGGCGTGAGCTTCTTGCTTTTGCCTCATATGTAATGCAGTGATTCCACGCAAGCTTTATGTATAAAAGGAAGCAACCGACTCTTTGATCTTCTTTCTTCTGCACCGTAGAGTTCACTACACTTATCGAACCATCTACCACACGTAAAATAAAGACAACGCCCATCATGCCTCTCGTTGTTCCTGGTATCAACTCAACATCCGGCGATAAGGCCGAGGAATGGCAGAACAAGCTCGTCGGCAAGAAGCTCTCCGACGAAGAGACATCGACCGAGACTGTATGTTGTCACGAAACATCTTTACGCTACCTATTTAAACACGCTGCTAACGATGACGAACAGGTCTTTGCTAAGCGAGATCTCCCCCAGGAGACACGCATCATCGAGCCAGGAATGATGGTCACAAAGGACTTCAAGGAGGATAGACTCAACGTTCACCTCAAGGATGACGGAACTGTTTCACATGTCGTCAAGGGCTGATCTGGCGGTGCTTGGTAGACTTGACCCGTCCACCAAAAGGAGGGGCATTGTTAATGTACGATACCTTAATGATGGGAACAGGATTCGCCTGTAACGGCGAAGGCGCAAGAGAATAACAGGATTATGGATTTTCCCTATAAACTGTCCGTTGTGTCTATTAATTGTGATCGCGTGCTGCATGCTCCAGTTGTGATGGTATTTTGGGGACTTTGGTGCTGTGCCTCTGTTATTGCATCTCGAGATTTACCCCGCCACCGATGCCGCGGGGCACTTGTCAACTTGACTTTTCCATACCAAAAGCACCCCACCAAGACACGATACGTCCCGACACGACACGACAAGTTCAGCTTCTCTACCATTCATTTTCTCTTTATTTGTTCTACAAACTACAGAGCTCAACTCCAGTATTAGATTTACTTCGGCACTGCCGTTAAATTACCGCAATGTTCAAGAAAGAGTACATCCCCCCACCATGAAACCTCTCAAACCTCTCATCTAACCATGACCAGAATCCAGGGCTCACCGAAGCAAAAGCTCAAATCCTCCGTCCAGCGCTCCCTTCGCCAGGGCCTCCTTGACACATACCCTCTCCTCAACCCCTACATCGACGAGATTCTGCCCAAGAAGGCCTCCCTTTCGAGCATGAAGCTGACCGACCGCAACACACTCTACGTTCTCGACTCGACACCTCTCTTCTACCAACAGGATCTCACTGGCATCCTTGTTCCTCACCTCCGTCTCGTACACCGCTTCCCTCAAGCGTTCCCCAGCATTCGTATAGACCGTGGTGCCATTCGCTTCGTCCTCTCGGGCGCTACCCTCATGGCCCCTGGCTTGACTTCCCCGGGTGGCAGACTGCCTGCTGATGGTGCACCCGAGGGTCTACAAGAGGGCAAGGAGATGGATCAGAAGATGGACGAGGAGGGACGATGGAGCAGAGAGCTTGTCAAGGGCGAGCCTGTGGTTGTCATAGCTGAGGGCAAGGAGGAGGCCTGCGCGGTGGGAACACTCGTCGCGGGTACCAAGGAGGTCAAGGCAAAGGGTAAGGGACCCGTGATTGAGGACGCGCATTATTTGGGCGATGGACTGTGGAACTTGAGCACTGAGTAAAATGTGGTTTGGTGTTGGGGATCGGAGTAGGGTTTTGTGATACCAATGAACAAGGGGGAGGGGGACACAATTCAAAGCGGAGAGACATGAATGAGATGATCATGACTGGTTTAAATGTATTCTGGAAAACAAAAAAGGTCATAAATAGACTGGTACATCTTGGTTTTGGCAATGATTGATTGCGTTATTCATACAGGACGAGGAAACTTTGCACTGATGGTCGAAGATTACTTATCGCGCGATCATAAGGTGAGACTCTATGGCTGATAGAATTGACAGAGCATTAATCTCTTGGTAGGGAATTGCTGGAGGGTAGGCTGGTCAGTTCTGTTGATCCAGGCCTACTGTCGACATTGCATCGTAATGCGACTGGTGAAGATCGAAGCAAGACCATTCTCTTTCATGGCTGTAAAGAGCTCACATACGGAAATAGATATCGCCCGGTGCTTGTTTATGAGAAGAGCTTTCAGCCCTCACGGCAATAAACAGAAATTGATTTGTCGTGTCGCTGTCAATCCATGAGACATCCTGTCATGCGACCTACAGCTGTGTCAACCTCATTCACAGCGACCACGTCTCATACAATAAGAAGGAAAGGACTTTCCGTATGGAACATCGATTGAGTGTTTAAGTTACAGGGTGAACGAGACTGGATATAAGGGTCCTGGTGTCTGAAAAAGTGTCAGACTGGCTCCATGTAAGTCGAGCCATCGCCAAATGAAGCCTTAGTCTCAGGCCGGCAAAGGTTCGCATATGACCTTCTCGATCGAACTGAATCACATAAAGGTTCAGTTACTCGTAAAGGCCTTAAAGGCTGTATCTCGAAGTCATTGTGCAACTCATGCTCGGGTTTTCCGTTTTCGGACTCTTTGAACATTTGATGTCGATCCATATTGCGACCACGAACCCTATGAATCCCGTTCTGGGCTTACTATGAGTAAATTTAGCTTTGGATAGCAATGATTAGTTTTTATTCCTCTGGTAAGTGTACAGCTAGGTTTGTAGTTGAGCGTGAGTTGATGATGTTCTTGTCATACCGGTTGAGGGTTTTGGGTGGTCTCTTAGCCCATGGCTACGATGAAAGGCAAAGGCTGAATAAAGGTCAAATACGTAGTTTAAATAGCTTCAATTGCTCTATGTCGATGCCTCTGATGGTTGTAATACGTCTTCTACGGAAGAATTTACCGAGTGCTCACAACTTAGGGAAGAATTCACGAGACACAATACATACTAAGTTAATTGGTATCTACAAGAGCGAGGAGCTGAGTCGTGTTTAGAAAAGCTGCAGCCTTCCTGGGGTTCGGAATCGATATGTGTCTATGACTGCAGTCCGATATAACTTCTCTTTCAGCTTTGGAATTCCTAGTAACTCCATCTCCAAATCACCCATCCAACAAACCCCAGTCCTGTAATCCAATGGCCAGCAGCTTTATATCGCAGCTCATCACCGCCGTTCATCCAGACAACCAACCCATCACCAAGTCTCACGATTGACAATATCGCGGAAAACGTCGTCACGGCGCTCTCGTTGCCCTGATATTGCAGTGCCATCAACATAAGACCATATGATATCTCACGAAGACCCTTGAAGTACATCAGAGGTGAAACAGAACCGCCTTCGGTGTTTATTTTGCTAGGTTCTAGGAGAAGACCGACATGGCCGTACTCTTTTCGTGGTGAGAGGAGAGCCATTACTCCACGGCTGACACAGGCGCCGCCGAGGATATAGGGGGGAATGGACGAGAATGTTGTCATGTTTGGATGTGGCGAAAGGCAGCTATCGCTTCCAGAGTTAGATTTGGGGATCCAATCAGGAACCTTGATAGTATGGAAATAGTCGAGGTTGAGAAGTTTAAGTGCAGCTGAGTGAGATAAGACATATCTGGAGTCTGCTTATGCATATACCTCATTCAGTTAGACTGCCACTATCTTGGGATAAAGTCTATGTTAACCTCATTTCATTTCAAACGTAAACTGCTTATAATTTTCTGAAATCTGAATTATTGCTAAGTGTAACAAAGACATCTGTGATGCGTATGAAACACCATGTATGTGAGGCGCCACCTATTTACTGACAGACTGTTGATCAAAACTCAAATATTGCTCATGGCTTACTATACTGAAGATTGAATCCATTTAGACTTCTGCTCTGGCCGTTGCCAGGACTCGTCTATGGATTCCAGTTCGTAGCTTTTGTAGACATTAGCTGCATAGACTTTGCCTTCTTCACTCTTGCTGTAAAGCTCTTCAATATGGCTATCGATTTTATAACTCTCATCTTCGAAATATTCATGGAGATAGAATTTTTCCAGACCAGGGGGCAGATCATCAATAAGTCTGAATGGTGGCCGTCGAAGATCATATGACTGCCTGAGAGGATTGATGCCAATTCTAAGGTAAATTCGAATTAAAATCGTGTAAACCCGACGATTGGCCTATAGAAACAATCATCAGGCATGTCTCAGCCAGAAAAGGACCCTGTTTGACTTCCTCTCAAGCTGGTGTTGTTCGTCACTTCTTTGCTCAAGATCCCCCATCCGGCCGGCCATTCTCCCACTTTTGCTTTCTGTGTGACCAAACTCTGACATGTCGAGCTCAAGCACTGTCAAGATGTTCTTGTGCTGAAGAAAAACCCCCCCCAGCTCTTGGGATCTTATACCATAGCGTCCCGGGTTTCTCTGTCACAGCCCTCCAACAGAGATCTGGAGTGTTTAAAGAGCCTTGGGGTCGCTGATAGACATACACAATGTCGATCCGGAGGCCTCGGTGTGGCTTAGTCGCATGTTCCTGATGCTGGATGTCCCGGGTGCAACCATATTGTCAATCTTATACTCAGCGGTACCGTCGGCGGTTAAAAGTCTCTGCTAGCGGAAGTCTAAGCATCGAATAAATATATTCAACGAAGTTAACATCTTGATATGATTTGAGATTCAGAGGCGTTTGTCTGACGACCTCAACAGTTTTTAGCTGTTGCAACTCTGGCTGATTCGCCAAATAATAGCTGTTTGATTTAGCAAATATTCTTGAATGAGAGCAGGGAAATCAGCTTTACGGCTTAGTAGATAACCTTTCACAAAAAGAGAAGAGAAAATAATGACGAGTGCAGCAGCGGCAAAACGAGACTCGTTGTTGTCAAAGTCCCCTTGCATTATCCGGAGCCTACCCCAAATGTTGCATCTTCTTCCATTTCAAAGCCTCAATGATCGACTGTGATAATTGATCTCCAATGCCAAGAGATGTAACTTGCCTTTGAGCAAATCGTGTGCATCGTGGTCTACCCCACGATTGGCGCGCTTTGGGAGTAAGTCTTTGCCACCGCTTGAGCGTAGATCATCATCATCGTGACAGCAAGAATGAAAATTCGGCCAAGAGTTTGGCTCGACACTGTACGAGAGAAGGAGAGGCAGCCTGGGGCAGCCTCTTAATATTGTCAGGGATGTGACTTTGATAGTTCTATATGCTGGCATTGCTGGGTGCAGGGCTAGTATATATTGGAACAGAATCTAATTATGTACGACTATGCTGTCACGGCAAAGGCTGTGCCTTGAGCTTGAGATTTCTTGACGTTAGTTGAAGTGAGGTAATGAGCTCTGAACGTTGTGCGAGCTATTCTCGAACAAAGCATGATTGAGTTTGATTATCTTGATTACGCTTCAGTATACCTTGTTACCGGATCAACACTACCTTAGCTAGCACCTATTTTAGCTGCAGATTCGTTCTATCGGAATTGAAGGACGAGCGTTTCTCATTGAGATACTGCAACGTTATAAACTTGATTGTCACTTCGCACAAAGGGAACTCAATCAATGATATCAGATGGTGAACGTCATGTTAACTGTTGTCGTTGAATACGGGCTGATCGGCACTAGAACTCGTATTATTCCGTCCAATCTCGTTAGATTTTGCAGATCAGGTGCTTGGAATACCACGTCAAGAGCAAAGTCCAGGGATCGGACTTCATAATCTGGGGCACTATAGCTGAAACTGGCCAAGGCCCACTGCCAATGTCCCTACATTTCCACAATATATGGCATTCTGAACCTTGGATAGTAGCGGAGAAACTGCCATTCTCCTATTCATGCTATGCTCAGCCACAAATAGATACATTTCTGCGAGGAACATCCCATGTTGAGATACTATTCTATGGGGCTTGATCTTGGCAGGCTTTGAGTGACTGATCATGACGGAATATTCGTGCTCCTAACCTAGAGCCTTAACATAGGCTACTATTTCCGGGTAGACTTCCGCCCCCTAATGAAGAAACTTTTCCGAATTATTCAACATCATCAGAATAGCGGAACTCGGCATCGCAGCAGAAGTAGTATTCCACCTGAATTATCGTTCTTGGCCAACGTGTCTCTGCATGAAGAAGCTCGCATTTACGAGGAGCTCCATTTGTGGCGGTGGCCCATAGACAAGTTTAATGCCATTGCCATTGCCAGTGGTCAGGTCAGGTCAGTTTAGCTTAGCTTAGGCCTTTAGGAATCGAGACTATGACGTCTGTAGCCAAGCACGGAGGGTCCACGCATTAGCTAGTGCGAGATTGAGTGCCTCGGCATCGAACGATAGATTCTAGAAAAGACTGGACGTTGCTAATTTTAGAGAGTTCAATTGCTGGCTCGGCCTGGGGTTGGGCTCTGGTCACGGGTGGCTTGCTTTGGGCTGCCGTTATCCCTAGCGTTGGCGTTGGCTGGCCTGACCCTTACAATTTTAGCCATGCCCAGCAACGCTTCTGGGGCCTGGACCTGGGGGTTCTCGGCTCGACCGCCTGAGCTCTCAATGCATTATGGGGATGCAGTGGGTTTATTTCAGGGTGATAGTTGTTGAGTTACAGTGGACTGTGGAGATACCTCGTATTCTTTATTCTTCCGCGAGGCGGGCGACATGCCGCGACCCTCCAGCGTTGGTCCCCTTAGTCCTCACCGCGGACCTTCGGACTTGGGGCTGGGGCTTAGAGCCCGTTATTGGGACAACTGCCGAAGACGATCTCAGCTATGACGATGCGAGATGAAGACGACCAAGGGGAGAGAATATGTATATAAGAGTATCGATCTTATCTTCTTTTCGACATTATCTCACTCACTCATCACTCACACTCTCATCCTCATCCTCACCCTCATCCCAATCAACACTCAACCACTCTAAAACACCACCACCACAACAACAACACAACAACCGCCGTCATGCAGATCAAGGCTCTTCTAATCACTCCCCTCGTCGCCGCCGGCGTCGTCTCTGCTGCCCCCAAGGCCAGCAGCACTCCCAAGTCCACCTACTTCAACGGTCTCGCCCTCCGCTCCGCCAGCCCCATCCACTTCAGCTACATCCAGGCCAACAAGGAGTCCTTCGAGCTGAAGCTCAAGAAGCAGGAGGCCAGCTGCGACGACGGCAAGCACCACAACGACGTCACCTTCCAGCTCTACAACGACGAGCTCTGGCTCTACTCCGTCGGCTTCCCTGGCCAGCAGGCCTACGTCGACTTCTCCGGCATGGGCCAGGGCAAGTTCGGCTACACCACTGGCGCTCAGCCTATGCCCAGGAACGGCCAGCGCAATGGCTGGAAGATCGACAAGGACGGCATCCTCACCAACGGCGGCTCCGGCTTCGTTGCCTGCCCCAATGGCGACGACCTCGAGAAGACCTCTTGGTCTGTCTGGGTCTACAACAGCATTGACAACCCCGGCGGTAACAAGAACTGTGTTCCCTTCTCCGTCAAGGCCGCCAAGGTTGAGAAGCCTGTTGGCTGCTTGTACTCCCAGGTCCAGCCCGGCGAGTAAAGTCTGGTTGATGATGGAACGTTTCTAGCACATACTTTTTGCATAACCTCTTGGTTGAGGTCATTGGGTTTAGAGGGTCACAGTTATTCATTATAACAGCGTTTTGATTGGTTCATAGAACCTGGATAGAGTACATATTCAATACTGATTTGCTTCTATCAATATTTGTTCATTGCCATTGTATCTAATATCTCGAAAGTGAACAACCATCTAATCAGTCCACTCTGTAGTCAGTCACCCATCCATCCCTCTCCAACACTTCCATCACCAGATTGCAAAGTAAAAACGACCCAATGTGTGTTCAATTTGGCCGCATTCATGGTAATTGCTGCTCATGACAAACAAGACAAATAGCAGATCATGAATCAGGGGACTTTGTCCTGCAAACTTCCAATGCATGAATGTCGATCATTGCGATCTGCTAACTGTAATTAGCGCAGCTAGACCCTGGAAGCACACCCAAACACCCCAGCGACGCACGCCAAGATCTGTTGTCACTGTTCCAGGTTTAGAACCAACAATCACAAAAAATTAAATGGCCGACAGCAATTGGCCATATTGAATATCTCTTGACATAGCGAGGAGATGAACAAAAACACAAAAAATGATCGCCTGTGTATCACAGGTGGCTGGATCTCTCCCGCCGGGAATTGAACCCGGGTCTCAAGCGTGACAAGCTTGCATACTGACCACTATACTACGGAAGATAACAGGTTGAACCTGTTGTAGTGGGTTGTGGTAGGGAGTCGGCAAATACAGTATATACAGGGAGTCTTTCTCCAGCCAAATTTGACCATATATCACCAATTTGGAAGAGCTAACCGTATCAATTAATTGATACGCAGAGGACCATTAATTAAGCACTTAGAGATTCGAAAATCCATAACCTGGAGCGCTTGCAAAGGGGATTAAATGCCGACAGCCTTCACATACCCTCTTTACCTATCCAGCATCGACAAAACTCCTTTCTCCCTTACC